CCAGCCACATCAATCACACACAGATGCACATGCACATGTGTACATACAAAATTTACTTTCAAGTTTATTTTATTTCTATGTATGTGTTTCAGATGCAGTGCTGAGCTACCTCATGGGTCCAAGATTTCTGGTTTATGCAAGCTGTGCACTTTCTATATGGGTAAGATAAACTCAGATAAAATTATTGCATTGTAAATGATCAAGGGAAGCCTGATTTTGGAAGCACTGTAGTATATCTGGAAACAGATATTTAGAAATGGATCAAATTTAAATCTTCAGTATTCAGACTGCCCCATTTTCTGTACTTTCATTTATTTAGTCCATGGTATTGCTTTATTTTGTGAGGCTAAAATAAAAATAAAGTTTTGTCTCTTCTGTTTTTCAGGGAGATCGAATGTGGCACTTTGCTATGTCTGTATTCCTGATAGAATTGTATGGACATAATCTCCTTTTAACAGCTGTTTTTGGGTTAGTGGTGGCTGGCTCAGTACTTGTGTTTGGGGCCTTAATTGGAGATTGGATTGATAGAAAACCAAGAAACAAAGGTAATTGTCTGTGTTGATTTTTTTTTTTCAGAGTAGCAGCCGTGTTAGTCTGTATCCGCAAAAAGAACAGGAGTACTTGTGGCACCTTAGAGACTAACAAATTTATTTGAGCATAAGTTTTCATGGGCTACAGCCCACTTCTTTGGCCCACAAAAGCTTATGCTCAAATAAATTGGTTAGTCTCTAAGGTGCCACAAGTACTCCTGTGTTGATTTTGATATTCCTAACTAGGAGATACAAACTCCTGAATATAATTACTATCCATGTGATTCAATAATGCTTATACTGCTATCTTCTTCAGAGTGCTTTAAAAATATTAATAATTTCTCGCACCACTTTTATGAAGGAGGGAAGCATTATATCGTCCTAATTGAACAGAGAAACTGAGAAAGAGAGATTAAGGGTAAAATAGTGCCTAAGTGATGTAGGAGCCTAAAGCCAATGTGACTTCCCCAAGGCCACAGAAGATGAGCTGGGAGTAGGAGTTCCTCGCTGAATTTGCATAATGTTAAATAATGTTCCTTATAATTAGCTCTGGTCAGAAAATAGAATTTCTGTTCTATAGTGAGAATGAGGTGCCATTCTTTGTCTTTCATACAAAGCTGAGAAATTTCTGATTAGAAAAGTCTGTTCAGGTGGCTGCTGGGTTTTGTCAGATAGTTTGTATTAAGTGACAGAATTTGTGAGATTCCTTTAAAATTGAGCAGATATGTATCACATCAAGAGCTGTTTCATTCTGCAGTTGCTCATGCATCGCTGTTCATTCAGAACTCCTCTGTCACTGCCTGCTGCGTAGTACTGATGTTGGTGTTCTCTTACAAAGCCGAGATTGAGCAAATGTGGCACGGCTGGTTTACTGTAAGTGTCTATTAACCTGTTTCTTTCACAGATAAATTATACTTTGAATATTTCAGTCTTGGGTTCTTTATGTAGGTTAATAATGCATGTAAAGTATTTGCTCTAATCTTGGAGATTGACTGTGGGCCAGAATCTCCTCTGTGCTATGGCTGCTGTACACAGCACCACCAGCAAAGCAGAAAGCCGGTATAGTCAGCCACAGGGTATCCTCACAGAGTGGATCCCATGATGGGGAAGAGCCAATGAAGAAGCTCTTCCTCTCCCTCCATATTCCCATCCTCCTCCTGCACCCTGGGCTGTGAGTGTAAGGCGTGGAGCTGGTGTTTCCTTGTATCCTGGTGAGCCCCAGCTGTTGTATTGGCCTTTTGGAGCTGTTGGCAGCCAGGGCAAGTTAAAGCAGCCCTCAGAGGGACCAGCCTGCCCCAGAAGTTGGGGGGCTTAAAGCCGCCATTGCACCTGCTCCCACCCTTTAACACTCTGTATTTCTTGGCTGCAGCTGAGGATCTAGGCCTTGGTGTATTGAGCCTCTTTAACATGTTTCCCTCTAGTGTTCATCTTTGATTTGAGGCAAAACCTATACAGTCGCCTCTTGATATAATGGCAGAAGATTATCAGGTTTAGGGGCAAATTCTGTTTTCATTTACCCCTCTTTAAATCTAAAGCAACTCCACTGAAGGCAACGGGGTCACCCTGACTTTCAGGAGGTTTAACTGAGAACAGAATCTGGCTCATAGCGTTAACGGAAAAGAAGCTCTTGCTGCTCAAATTAGCAAAAATGTACTCACTCCAGTGGCAAACTTAACCGGTCTCTGAAAGCATCCATCTTTATTGAGACTTTGTGTAATGTTCCAGCCAGCAATAGCTGAGTAACCTTGATTCTTGGATTCCAACCTCCGGTTTTTATTCACTTCCAACAAGGTGTTCTGTTATGCAGTGGTAATCATCTTAGCCGATCTGGCAAACCTGGCAAGCACAGCGCTGACAATAACCATTCAGAAAGACTGGATTGTGGTCATCACAGGTGATAACAGAGGCCAACTGGCTGGTGAGCTAGATATAGTATATGTTCATTTACATAGGAGCCAAAGCTATATTTTATTTAATAGAAGAAACATAGTTACATATTTATTTAGAAACAAATTTCTAATCTCATTCCTTAATAAGTGTCTAAGAAGATTAAATAGAGCTGTGTTCAAAGCTATATCTCTCAGGGGAAAGCCTTGTAACGTATAGGTTACAAAGATTTCAGTTTTTCACCAATTTCTGGTTGATCAGATAAAAATAGGACTGTGCTTATTAGTAATGAGCTTTTATTAACAAGTAAAAGTAGCAAAGTTATTTCAGGTGAAGCAACTACTGAGACTTGACAGCCTCTTTTTAGACAGGATCCTACATGGCACAATAGGTTGGTTACACTTGTCTTCTGCTTTGGGAGACCTGATTCAAACCCTGGCACAAATCATAAGTGAAAGGACATAGCGAAGTCTCTGTGTACCTCACACCACCACCACATACTGCAATTAGGCTCTCTTGGAAGTCTCTCTCTGGCAGCATCACAGGTCTAGGTTAGGAAGGGTTCTTGTAAATCAAGATTAAAGTGCACTGCCAAAGCTGAGCAAGGAAGCATACATGTCTCTCCATGGTCTCCCAGACTCAAACCACTGTTATTAGTCCCTGGTTTTCATGAGCACATCTTTATCTGTCCTCCCTCCCACCCAATCACTTTATTTTTCATTTGGTCTTCTGTAAAATATCTTGCTCCTTTTGAGTAACTTAAGTGATAATATATTATTAATATTATTAGTTGTATCACAGTAGCACTTAGAGGCCCTGAGTGAAATTCGGATTCCATAGGATGAGATGCTGTATAAGCATATAGTATGAGAGAGTCCCTGCCTATAGAGCTTTTAGTGTTATTCGGCAAACAAAGGGTGGAAGAATTATCACGTCATGCGTGTGTATGTATATATGTAGAGTGAAATGCATTCTGTTTTTACACCATGTCTAGGAATGAATGCAGCTATAAGAAGAATGGATCAAGTCATAAATATCTTCGCTCCTCTGTCTGTGGGGCAGGTTATGACTTGGGCCTCTAATGTCATTGGCTGTGGATTTATTCTTGGATGGAACTTGATCTCTCTTCTGGTAGAATTTATATTCCTATCCAGGGTGTATCAACTAGTGCCTCCTTTGGCTGTAAAATCTCAACAGAATGCAGGAGAATATGTTATAGAAAGACAAATGGAACTTACAAATGTGCCGGGTAAGTAGTATTCAATAGGAGAACAGCCTCCCACCAACATTTAAAAAATGTATTATTATGAAATACTGGCTTACATCCAAAATGTTGAATTACACATCAAATCATTAGAGTACTAAAGGATATCCAACAAGTCATTCCACAGAAACTGCATGAAGATAATAAAATTACTATCAAAAGAAAAGACAAAAGCCAAGTAGCAAATATGCGGGGGTCAATTCTCCAAATCCTTGTACTAGGGTGATTTACATACACAACTCGCAATGGCGTTAAGGGGAGTTATTGGTGGAAATCTTTCATGTGGGTGTGAGAATAGCAGAGCCTCCATTGTTTAATACCTTGCCAGGCAGATTTAAAGACTGTTTAATGAATCCATCTGTCTGCATTATGTACTCCTTGGTATAGAGCACTATCCTGCAGCACGTCACTGAACCACGATATCTGATACTCATTTAGAATGATGGTTGTCATAGCAATTCAAGATGCTAAAAGAAAAGAAGTCAGTGAAGAATGGTTTAATGCATGTAATCCCTAATATTCAGTTTATTTTTGCTACTCTCTTTAAAAGAGTATTGTATCCCCATTGACCATCTTCCTGTTTTAGTGGTTCTCCACGGGGTCAATTCCTGCCTCATTGCACATGGCCATCTCCTACTAATGACAATGGAAATTATGCATTAGTACTGTTGCCCATTTTTGACCTGAACCACTCATCAAAGTTTGGGGCCCTTCAGATGTTCTAGTTGGAGGGAGAAATTGGTGATAGGTATGCAGTTTTGTTTATATGCAAAGTCCTGTGTTTCTTAACACAGGAGGAATCAAGTAACAAAAGGATCAGTTTCTTAACTTACAGAGTTCAAGTCACTTTAGCCAACACCCAACCCCAAAGCACTCTCTCTAGCTTCTTCCAGGGTCACACTGTGCTTACAGCCTCCTGCTTGGCTTTTCTTGCCTTTCTTCCTCTGCCTCTCTCTGTTCTTGTCTGCCATATCAATCATTTCAATAGCAGTGTTTTTTCTCACACTCTCATACACACATACCCAAAACAAGACTCAGCCCAAAAGCTCCTCAGCAGGTTCACACACACCTTTTGTTTTCGGTGGGGCTTATGTTTACAGTGATGTTAATTGAAGAGTGAGTTCACACCTCTCAACCTCAGTGGGGTTTTAACCCAACCCATAACAAGGTTTCACCAAACTCATCCCAGGAGACTAGATCACTTATGACAACAAGACAACTACTCTGACATTGACCTTACTCCCTGGAGCCAGAGGTGAAAGTACGCCGGTACGGCATACTGGCAAGAGCCAGTACACTGTGCCGGACCAGACCGGCTGGTGATTTAAAGGGCCCGGGGCTCCCCGCAGCGGCCGGAGCCCCGGGCTCTTTAAATCGCCTCCTGAGCCCTGCTGCCAGAGCCCTGGGGTAGCGGTGGTAGGGCTCTGGCGGTGATTTAAAGGGCCCAGGGCTCCGGCCGCTGCGGGGAGCCCTGGACCCTTTAAAACACCATGGGAGCCCTGCTGCCGCAGTGGGGCTCGGGCAGCACTTTAAAGGGCCAGGGGCTCTGCTGCTGCGGGGAGCCCCGGGCCCTTTAAATCCCCGTCGTTGCGCCGGGACTCCGGCAGCAGGGCTCGGGCAGGGATTTAAAGGGCCCGGGGCTGCAGTCCCTGCAGGGAGCCCCTGACCCTTTAAAGCGCCACCCGAGCCCTGCTGCCGGAGCCCTGGGGTAGCGGTGGCAGGGCTCCCATGGTGATTTAAAGGGACTGGAGCTCCACTGTGGTAGCAGTGGGAATCCCGGGCCCCTTAAATCGCCCCTGAGCCCTGGGGCTCCCAGCCGCCTCTGCAGCTGGGAGCTCCGCGGGTGATTTAAAGGTCCCAGAGCTCCCAGCTGCTGTCGGAGCCCTGGGGCCTTTAAATCTTGATTAAATTTAAAGGCCTCCTCCGGTTGAGGCCATGCCTCTTCCGATTGAGGCCACGCCCCCTGCTCAGGACTCCGGAGTACAGGTAAGTCCTTTAAGTTACTTTCACCCCTACCTGGAGCTCAGCCTTACTAATGCTAATCAGCAGATGCAGTATCAATGGGGGTGAGTCTGTACTAGCAGTTAGCGTTGGGACATAATACTTCTTGATGCTTTTAGACATTTTTAGAAAAAAGACAGTAAAATCACAAATTAGGTCAACCTATGTTAGATCCACACTACCCTCCTTCTGTCGGTGGTGTGTGTCCTCACCAGGAGCGCTTCCACTGACTGAAGAGGGGCAGTGTGGGGGGCTGAGAGCCAGGGATCAGCTCCAAGCAGTTCCCCACTAGGAGCCCAGCTGCCCCACTGGGCTTCTCACCTCCCTATTCCCAGACGGGAGTGGGGGAAGCCACCTGGGCTTTCTTGCCTCTGGGAGGGAGATCTGTACCTAGAGGCCAGTGGGCTGCGTTGTTCCCAATGGGGAGTTGGGAACACAGGGCAGCAGGGCTCCCAGTAGGGAGCCTGGGTTGTAGCCCAAGCTGGGAGCCTAGGTGACAGCCAGCTTGGAGCAAAGACCCAGCAGCAGCCCAGCTGGGGAGCCAGCTTTCTCATCAATTTCACAACTCAGCCATGAAATTGACAAGACAGCCAACAGCTGATGTAAGTAACCTGCAGTGTCTACACAGACACTGCGTGGCCCTAACTACCCCGACATAAGCCCTCCTCTTGTGGAGTGAAGTTATTATGTCAGTGCAGTAGGGCACTTGTGTCAGTGGGAGCAAGTCTGTAGTGTGTACACTGACATAGGCTAACATAAGCTTGTGTAAACCAAGCCTTACAAAATTGGTGCAGTGATGATTCGCTGAAATCTGTTATACTAACCTCCACTCCCCAAGCTCTTGTATGTGATAATCAGGCTAACACGTTGTTCTCACTGAGGAAAAGTATCCTGTGCAATTGTTCACTCCCTACCATTTAGGACATTCTTTATCCATTATTGATGAAGAATTTTTTTTAAATACCAAGCAAATCACCTGCAGATAGACATCCTGTGAGATTCTGCTACAAATGTGCCTCTTCAGCCTGGTCTACCTTTTAGATCAAGATGGCTACATAGCTCAAGGCTGTGAAAAATTTCGTACCCTGACTGCAGAAGTTAGATCTATCTACTAGATGTGGCTAGGCTGACAGAATAATTCTTCCATTGACCTAGCTATCTCCTCCATAGGCACTGAGTTTCTAGCCCAGGCCCTACCCTTTCTCCCAGGCCCTACCCCCCGCCTCTTCCTGCCCCGGCTCTGCCCCCTCTTCCTGCCCTCTTCCACCCCCTCCCCCAAATGCTCCTGGCCCTCGCTCCTCCCCCTGCCTTCCCTCAGTACCTCCTACATGCCGTAGAACAGCTGATCACAGCAGGCAGCAGGCGCTGGGGTGAGGGGCAATCGCTGATTGGTGGGGCTGCTGGTGGGGAGGAGGCGCTGGGGGGGAGGGGCAGGCGGTGATAGAGGGGCTGCCAGTGGGTGCTAAGCACCCTTTTTTTCCCCCCCCGGGGGTCAGTGCCTATGAACTCCTCTTGGAAAGGTGGATTAACTACCTTGACAGAAAAACCCTTTCTGGCAATATCGGAAGTGTCTACATTACAGTGCCATAGCTGTACTGCTGTAGCCGCTGTAGTGTAGACATACCCTCTGTTGACTATACTAATGAGAACATACTAGCCATCCACAAGTGTTTTTCCCAAGGACAGACATCTCTATGTGTGGGGTGGATGGCAGGAATAGCAGAGGGGGAGGTGAATGGGATGCAGGAGTGGGGGTTGAATAGGAGCAGGGGGCAGGTGAACAGGAGTCAGAGGCATGGGCAGTTAGATAGGAACAGAGGGTGATGGGGGAGGAGCCAGGGAAGGGGTGGGGAGACTGGATAGGAGTAGGAGGAGAGGGAACAGGAAAGCTGAGGGAGCAGGGCAAGGGGTTGGAGGAGCATAGAGACACAGGCACAGCCTAGGGACACAGTGGTAGAAGGGTCTAACCATTAGAACACGCTCCCCTACAAAACCTGGAATTGAATCCAGGAGTCTTGAGTCTCTACATTATTCTGTTTTCAGCAAGTAGCTGTGAAACCCATTGGCAAAGTGTGTGTCTCATTCCCCACTCTGCCTGTTTCACACAGAGGATAACAGCCTACTACAGCTACTAGTTATTCTATTAGCTCAAGTGGTAGAGGTCCATGCAGTGAGTCTAACTGTTCAAATCATGCTGCTGATCCAAGCTGCGGGGGAGGGGAGGAGGGTGTCGGTATGCTTCCACATGATAGAATTTCAGTGTTTTCACTTTTTACTTAGGTTCCGGACATTACATTAAAAAAGAAACTATATAAACAGTATGCTAAGGGTGTATAGTTGAGCACACATTAGGAAATGCCAGAATTAAAGTTACCCGGGCAATCTTAATTTGACCGTCTTGTGTGTATGGGTTATGATACAGTCTTTAGTGACATGATCACATACTAATTTTTCCCATGAGGACCCCTGCCTCATTCAGTGTATTGGACTGATGCTGTTCTGGGGAAGAATCAGGGCTGTGTATCCCTCCCTACCTCTGCCACAGACTTCCTATGCATGCTGGACAAATCACCTAAACCAAAATGTTCACAGGTGACCACTAACTGTGTATTCCTAATTTTCTGGATGCCCAACACCTGAGACCAGGTTTGCAGAAGTGTTCAGCATTCACAGCTGCAACTGGAGTCAATTGAATCTATGCTTTGAGTATGTTAAAGTGACAGAAAATGCAAAGTACTCTGAAAAATTGTGACCTAGTTGTTTCAAGTTGTATCCAAAAATAGTGGATACTCTAGTCAATTTTGGCCTTGATCTCATTGTGTTTCAGTTCCCCATCAGTAAAATGAGGATAATAATACCTCCTAATCTCACAGGCTTGTTGTGAAGATAAATGAATTAACGTTTGTGGAGCACTCATGCCTGGTCCCCACTTAGTCCGGACTTCGGACTAAGGTACGCAAATTCAGCTACGTTAATAACGTA